TTTACCCCATGTTGGACGATCTTCCATCCAAAAAGTCCAAGCCATTGTACTGAGTGAGCACAAGATTGCATATATCAGAAAGTATAGTACTACTCTATATTATAGTCAACGCTTGGATTGAAATTTCAACATCATGGATTAAATTGAATTAATTTCTGAAATCTATCAAATCAGTTGCCATCGCTTGCCTTACCACGAGAACAACGCTTCATGGCTTGGATAATCTGAGTCTGTGCCTCAGTCAAGTTGCCATCCGTCCACTCAGCAAGTCGCCGAGCCACTTGCCACCTGAGCCGGGCAATAGACTAATAATAGTCAACATCATGGTTGATGAATCACAATGGTAAGTGACACCAATTGGTGATACATGTTACAAGTTCATGTTGAACAAAAATGAGTTCAATATTATTTGACCAACGCACTGGAAGTAAGCAGCCTTTTTCCTCCGCTGCTACTGCCCCATGTCATTTTTTTGGCGGCGGCATCTTTCTCACTGACCAGGTGTACCGAGTGCCTCCACTGATCGAACTGGAAGCCGAAGTGGTGCTTTCAGGGAGCCTGGGTGGAAGAATAACAGTCGATCTTCCAGCCTCTTTGTTTGGCATGGCCATGGCCTTGGGTTGCGGAACCGTATGGCTCTGAAGGAAGGCTCTGCAAAGCGATCCCCACCTGCCTTTAAGCAAGGCCAATTCCATACTGCCAGTGGTCTGAAAAAGGTGAGTCGCGCCTCCTCTTCGGAGGCTGTAAGGTCTGAAACTGAAACAGTGGCCTTGGAGATCAAATTTCTTTAAATAAAAGCTGAACTTATTCCTAAAGTTCTGTGCAGAGTGAAGCCAACAAGGGACATGCTGCAAGCGTTGGTGTTCTCGTAACTGTAACAGCTGATCAATGGCAATCACTGCGAAGGGATCATCAAAAGAAACGGTCTCGGAAGCAGCATTACGCTTCCCAGATTTCGTGCTTTCCAGTGAAAGGATTACCCGTTCCTTTGCAACAAGGATGTTGCACGGCTTTGCCAGCAACAACTCTCCAGTGCGGAGTAACCCGAAAAATCCCATTAAAAGCAAAGTTCCAAAAACTAAATCATTATGCATCATCGCATAGTGAGCCAACGAATATATTATGTATTTTGTAAGTGGAGGGGCCCTATTGGGGGCCTCCAATTTTCGCCAAGTGCGAAACAATTTCCATGCTGATGGGATCAACTTCTTGGTATAGGGCTCAAAGTGGTGAAGGCCACACAATGCGTCTGAAACAACATGAATTGTTTGACCCTCTCTCCATTGTTTTTCAACCCAGTCGCTTACTGCGTCATCCAGCTGAGGCGGTCCTTTGACCTTTTCCAGTGTAGGCAAAAGTTTTCTCATAGCATCATAGTACCTCTCTTGTGTTCGAACTGAAATAGCTGCATCTGCTAGTATTATGTCCTTTCTTTGTTTCTGTCTTTCAGCGCGGGTTCGTCTAGTCAAGAACTTAGGCCGACCGGCTCGCATGGTCGGTTGGATTCTGTGTGGACTCTACATGTCCCAGAATCAGTGTGATGCCATGGGCTAAAAGGTTTGCCTTCAATACCTTGAGCAACTTGTTCAGAAAACGGCTGCCACTGCGACCCTTGCTTATCAGTGAAAGGCAAACATACGAGTCAGTCAAATGAAACAAACGCAAACGCGTGACCTGGAAATGAGAAATAGTATACATAACAGCTTGGTGTATTGCTCGTAGTTCCAACCGATTTATATGCTCTTTATGAGCCCATCTAAACTTGAAGACATGCTCCCAGTCCCACCATTCAGCTTCAACCGCCTGCCTAGGGAAGGCTTTTGGGTTGAGGATTTCGCCAGTAGTTATACGGATGTCAGACCCCGTGTGATTTACTCTAGCGAGTAAGATTTTATTCAGCAGTTGTGGTGACATCAATAAATTTGAACCATCAAACCCGTACTGCAGTTTTCTAGCCAAAGGGATCTTAATCCTCCATGGAGCTGCAAAACCAGGCGCCAGACCCATGCGATCGCACAAATGAGCATAGCTCATCCGAGGCAAGAACTGCTTGCATAGGGCGGCTGCCGGAATAACAAAAGAATAAATACTAAAGCTGTCTCCTAGCAGAGAAAGTCGTTCGTTTTCAAAGGCTGCAGCAGACTTCTTAATCTGACTCGCGCTCATGCAAAGATGTGTGTGCATCCAACCATACCCTAAGAGCAGCTCTCGTTCTGTACTGTCAATGAGTCTCCATTTGTTACCCTTCCAAAAGAGTAAACGGGACAAGTATTGATATGGAGGGAATTTGAAATGCTCACTCTTCCATCGCTCTTTAGTGTCTTCGTCGCACCTTGACAGACCTGCCGGTCTCGGTGGTGGTCGGCTCCGGATGATGGCCCGGAGACATGTTGGTAAGACATCGCCAGACTCTGCGCCTGTCCAAACAACTTCCGGCTCTATCCATGTGGCTGGATCTGGATAAGGGTTTTCAGCAGTTACCTTAGTCCAAAAATCCTCACGCTCAAAAAGTACCCCATCCAGAACCCCCTCAAAGGACTCGCTACACCAGCATAGTCTAGGCCTGTTCAAGGGCACTGCGTCAGAGCAGTTCAAGTGGTATGGCCAAATTCCCAGGGTCTCTGAAATTTCCACGCACTCGCTCTTTGCCATAGAGGCAACACTCTCGCCCACCAGTTTGATCTCAATCAGCTCCCCTGCAGCGCTCCGGAGCACTTCTAGAACCCTAGGCACTTCATAAAATAGCTTCGACTGACTACCAGCTAATCCTTCTCGACCTGACTTCAGTGCCGTAAGGTCCGTACATGGAAAGCCTGCCCAAACATGGATTTCTGTTATTCCGACAAACTTAAGAAGCCATCCTCGAACCATGGTTTCGTCAATCTCCCTCACATCATGGTACTGCAGCGAGTGGGGCCACCGTCTGCTCGAAACTCTGTTGGCGGGCCCATGTATATCAAAACTAATAAGTCCCAAAGGTGCAAGCCCAAGTATGTCGTAACATCTGAAGCACCCTCCTACTCCATTAAAGAGGGAAATCACCAACACCGGGATACTGACAACGGAGCGAACACTAGATGTCATTGCTGCTACATAGTCGCTCCCAACAGACGTCAACTGCTTTGAAATCCCTACTGCTCCACCAAAACCTGAGGCATCCGACGCAGTCACAAAATTAGAAACTGTTGCTCCCAGGTCAGTATGTAAGAGGGGGCTTGCACACACCAAACTCCAGAGCTCTCTCTTTACCTGTTCTACCAGACGGCTGCTGAAAGTCTTGCTGCTAATAAATTGCCATGTAGAATCCAAGAAGGCCATACCCGGCCGACGAAATTGCAGTATGTGGACCCAACGTCCTGCCACCACCTGCACATGCTTCTTTGATAAATGCTTTTGAGAGAGAATCCACAAAGTAGCTTGTATCACTTTGAGGATCCGCTCAGGAGACGCCCCAATGGTGTTTGTGGCTCCGCTGACTAGGGCTCCCAATTCTTCAGCTTCTTCAACTGCTCGCTTCCTTTTCTTTTCTGAAGAAACAACCTGTGCTTCTCTCCAAGCTTTTTCTGCTAGTTGGTGGAGTTGATCACCAGCAGCTGAAGTTTCAGAAACGCCCAAGACCTGCCCTCCGGCATAGTTATCCAAATAGACATGCCACCATATACGACGGTGCTCTCGGGCTTCCTTTAAAAGACCAACCATCCATAAGGGCAGAGGGCGGTTGCGAACTACTTGCTCTCCCGCAGGCAACATGCTGCGCAACAAGATACGCTCACTGACTTCCTGCATAACTGAAGCTGAAGAAAGCCAACCCATGGGTAAAACGCAACAGGACAAAGCATACTTCCTAGCAGGGTCTCTGTCAATCTGTTTTTCATTTACTACAATGTTAAACGCTAAACAGCGTCTCCACTGAGGAGGTTAAGCAAAGAGATAGAAAGCGTTGGTCATATCTGACTGCCAAATCCTGATAGTTTCACCCTCATCGGCCACCAGTGACATCCAAGCAGTAATACTGGGCAAGTTCTTAACAGCCCCTTCAAGCTGAAGCATCACTGAGTTTGAAGGTACTAAGTTCATTATAACACGAAGAATAGGCTCTCCCGAAGACAAACATGATGTTTTGGGCACCCCAAAAAGACCGTTTAGAACAGGCTCCCCACGATAAGTAAGGACATCATCAAAAGGAATCCAGTCACAAACCCCGCAACTAATCAGCGCGCTCGTGATGGCAGGAAGTTCTCCCTCGGCAACATGGATTTTTCCCTGAAGTTTTGGCAATTGCTGGCCCCTGTCTTCAAGGATACAGTGTTCAGGATTCCTTAAGAAATTTCCAGTCACCGGTGAAACAAAATCCATCAAATCAATACATCCCCCATGTTCTTTAGGTGGTAGAGCAGGCTCGATCTGCCGCAGTGTCAACTTATGGCAACTCCCTACTTCTTCACCCAAATAGTTCACCCGTGCAAGCTTCACATCTTTTTCTATGCCTTCTGAGCTCACAGGTTCTTGGCGTCCATGGCTGAGCAGACGTCTCGTCATCAGCCTGACAGCTGCGCATGCCCGCTCCTCAGCCTTTATCCAGCCTCCTGAGTCAAGAGGCCGCTGCACATCCACTAAGGAGTTACATGCAAAACAAGCCAAGTATGTCCAGCAAGCTTCGGCATGAAGAGTACAAAAGCTATCCTCAGCGGCTTCGCACAAAGAAACAGCCTTCAAGGTGTTCACAGTCCCGGCCAACTCGCCTTCGCGCAAGGGAAGAGCCAGTCGTTTCCGACCGGCCCGTTGCCGCACGCTGGAGGCAAACATTAGCCTATAGATGCCTGAATTCTGGAGCTCGTTGGTGAAACAGCTCACATGAATCAAGCCCCACGCCAGGACACACCCGGTGCGTCTCAGTGTGTCACACAAACGTAGGATCTGACCCAAGTCAGCCAAAGGAGCTTGGGGAGCGATCTCAACGGCCTTGACCAGAGATGCTTCCTCTGCTACTTGGGCTTCTCCTCTGGCTTCTCTTTGTTCTTCTCCCAGTCTTTGCTGCGGGGAGTGTCCCAGTTGGGGCGATTGTCCCAGCGTCCTTTGCCCTTCTTTCCTTTGTTCTTTGTCTTGCCTTCTCCTTTTGCTTCGCCTCTGGTGTCGCCGTAGCTCCACTCGTTCTTGCCCTTTCCTCCACGGCCGCGGCCGGCTCCCGGAACCCAGGAGCTGGAGGGGTAGCCCTGCATTTTTGAAACCAGTTTCGCATGTCGCCGCGTCGCCAAAATGGCGGACGGGCTGGCAGCGGTCACGTCTTCCATAGCATGCAGCTCCAAGTGACGAGCTGTTCCCCAATTTCCGTCCACTAAGGGCTGATGTAGAGCTATGAACCGCGCTGCTAAGCCGTCTGCGCAGCGAGCTACGTCCCCAGATCGAATAGCATCTATGCATGAGGCCAAATGAAACATCTCCCTCAACTCTCGAAGGTGTTGAGGATAGGCGCCCTTGACATGGATGTTGAAGTAGGTCATGACCTTCACACCCCCAGTCACCACGGCTGAAGCCTGGCCGGTCTCTGTCAGGGCGCTTTGGTCCAACTGGTCCCTGATGTGGGCCACCAGGAGCTGCAAAACGCTTCCTGGGCGGTCCCTGGATTTCTTTCTGAGCGGTGCTTGCAGGTCCTCGTCGCTTGAGGGCTCTTCTGTCTCCGCCCCCGAGGAAGCTCCTGAGCTGGCGCTTGAGGTCACTATCGTTCCATCCCTCAACATTCTGCGTTTGCGCTTCTTCTTCTTCTTGGTGGCCTCGGTCTCCTTGGGGGTTACCCCACTGGCTTTCTGCAATGCCTTGACCAGGACATTGGAAAGCCGCTCCATATCCGTCTTCCCTGACACCTTCTTCTTCTTCTTGGACGAGCTCTTTGCTTTCCTCTGACGAGTCACTTCCAGAGCTTTCTGGACCAGTTGGCCGCTCAAGCTTTTCGAAGTGGTGTCTTTTGTATCCACCAGGGCGAGCGCATCTTCCCCGCCTGTATGACGTCGAGAGCGGCGGAGTTTGTCCTTCCGAGCAACGGCTTTCGCCAGCTCTGGAGAAAGAGGATCCAAGTTGGCTCCTGTCGTCAGGCCATCTGCCTGCACAGAGTCTGAGCTGTCTACATCTAGCCCATCCTTCTGCTCCTCGTCGACCAAGGTTCCCGGAGAATACTCCTGATCTTCTTCCTTCCCATCGCCCTGAAGTCTGACCCGCAAAGCCTTCAACTTCTGCCGCAGCTCCTCTTTGGATGCCCGGATATCTGGGTCCCCAGGTTCTGTCTCTTTGGGAGTGCGAAGGGCAGGCTTGCGGCGAGGGGCGGCTTTTCCTCCAGTTTCTCCAGGCTTGCCTCTGTCTTTCTTTTCTTTTGGTGCAGTTTTTGCGGTAGCTGCTTTGGCACGAGGAGTCCTGGGAGCCTTTGGTTTTTCTGTAGAGCTCTTCAAAAACTTGTTCACATTCTTTTTCTGAGCATCCGAAAGGTAAGGGCAAACCTCCACAAAACGTGACGCGCTCCACAAACGCACTCTGGTTGCATGCAAAAAGTCCGCGAGGTCCGGCTCGCCTTCTGAAATATCTAAACAAGGCCGCGACAAGCAAAGGTGAATTGAATTCCCTTCTGTGTTGAAATCGGTGTCCAGACGGCCATCCACTGAAGTATCTTCGGACCCCAGGAAACGGCATTCCAGAACTAGTGATCCATCTAAAAGGGTGGACACTCGTACAATCACAAAGGCGGCCCAAACGGCCGGCGCCTCGTGGAAATTGCTTTGCCCCAGCGCAACCTCTAAAATCTGGCCGCGCGCGGGTGAAAGGGCGCTCCAAGCCTGCAACTGAGTTACATCCACTTCGACTCCATCCTCGTCCAAGTCTGCCATTGCTCAAACGGATTGCTCCAGAGCGTGGCGGCCTTGACTCACTGACAATAGTTCCAAAAGTCCTGGTCCAGCTTTTCGATGGACTCGCAACAAAGGATCCTCTGCCAGGCGTTTGAGTCGTTGATGTTTCCTCCCAGCTCTTTTGGTTCTCCTCCGTGGCTTCGATTGACGTGTGTGAGAACCTCTGGTTCGGTCTCTTCTTCGTGATCGACTTCGCTCAGCACGGCTGTGGCCAGCTGAACGGTGTGATCGCCTTGAAGAGTGCTGGCGCTCGCGCCGCGGTGAAGGATCAGGCCCTGGGGGTTTCCTCTTAGGTTCGGCACCTCTCACCTCAGGATCGTCGCCTTCCTCGTCCTCCTCTTCTTCCTCCTCCTCTTCTTCACTCAAAGGTTCTGTCACCTGCTCTTCTTTTGCCCTTCGAGGTGGGGAAGGAGGTCGAGGCAAGTTAAAGGTGGCACGTTGTCGAGGAAGTTCACTCCTAGTTCGGGTGTCCCTGTCACCTTGGTCTCGGCCAGGAGCTGGTGGTGGAGGTGCTACAGAAGCACGGCTTTGGCCAGCTTCAACTGATCTGCCCCCCCCGGTAGAGATACCTGCCCCCAAGGAACGTAGAGCTCTCACTTGCCTAGAGCAATTTAGCACAAGGTCGTTGGCCAAAACTTTGGCTCCACCTATGTCCCAATGTCCTCCGAGCTCGCGTCCAATGGCTTCCCAGCCAGCGCAGCCCAGGCACCACAAATCGCCCTCTATGGCAAGGGAGAAGCGACACTTGGAACAAACCGGTGGGGGCATACAGAGATTTGAACACTGAAAAGCCACTAGAGTAAACAACCGCTGAGGTTAACATCGTGACACTCTGCCTAAATTCTACAAGAAAGTCTATGTATATATTGTGTATATATATATTGCACATATACATATATTGTATATATATATTATGTGTGCATATATTTATTTACAGTTGTAGATGTATACGTGTATATATATATATAATTATATATATATATATACACACAAATATGTCTCTATACATTGATACTGATGTGTATGTATAATCTCCAAAGTTCACCATATGGATGATCCCTTCATACATTCCTCTGCAGGCCTAGACACCCAACAAGGTCGGGAGCGTCGTGACGAATGACCTCAATGGAGGGGTATTTCTGATCGGAGGTTGCACCAAAAATGTGGTTTCCGCCAAGAAGTCTCGATGGGATATAATGGATACATGGATACATCATGATACATGATGACATATCATTCAATATCATGTCCTTTCATTTCGTTGCTATCGTAACCGTAGATTCGCAGATACTCTTTGAAAGCAGCGCGCTTTCAGTACAAAAAAACACTCCAAAGCTTGGGTATGCTTAATCACACAGCTTGGGGAACCCTGGGATGAAAGTAAGTGTTCAACAATGGGATCCTCGGACAAAAACATCCACCCTCCAAAGGCTTACCTTTTTGGAGTAAGAATCCTGAAAGAAACAATTCAACCAGACTCAAGTTGTTTGACCCCCGGAAGATCTTGGTTGGCAAGGAGTGTGCTCAGGGTTTTTTTCCTGGTTGAACATTGTACAGACTTGTACAGCACCCCAAGGATCCTAATTTTTTCCACGCGTCCAAGAAAGTGATCCGTGTTGAATTCCACGAGATTGCTGTGTAAAAATACAAGTTATATATATATATATAAGAAATGTTTGGACATGTTTGGAATATGTAGTTTTGCACCCCTGGAAGTATCCTGGTAAATGATTGGTTTTCTGACCCAGGGTCTCAAATCAACCCCAGCAAAGCCAAATACCGATAGGAATGGGAGAGTTGTTTGAAGCGACCAGATATTTGAACTGGCCATGCCTGGCCTGGTTTCCAATAAACATAGCTGTCCAACACTGTCAACCCCTGATCCCCCAACCCCAACGCAAGGGTTTGTCAAAACTTATCAAGCCCCGCGTTTTGCCCATGTTTTGCTGCCTGAATAAGTTGAATACGTGCCTGTGATTGCTGCCTAAAACCCATTGAGCATAGTCTAGTAAACACATTTTTTTATGGTCATTTTAGCCACATTTTAGTCGTTCCGAACTCTTGAATGCCATCCCAGTCCGTGCCACTGGCCACCCATTGCTGGTGCGGCCAGCGCACGCGGCCAAGACCTCCCCAATGAGGTCCGTGTTCTTGCTCTGAGCACCTGCCGCAACCGGACAAGGCAAACAGGTGCCGTTAGGTCAAGCGGATTGTGGGCACGTTCACCAAGATAGGGAGTATAAAGGATATAAGGGATATCATGAAGATACAACCGCGATATATAACCGACAATATGATATATGTGTCATGGTCATATTTAATGGGCTAGTCATGATGGGTTTGGTCATCCATCCCATGCCATGGGAATCTTTAGAAGGGGAATGTCAATCCCTATCAATGGGTTGTTGATGGTCCTCCAATGCGGGTATATAATCCAACTTTTGACGCGCTCCATGTGGCAAGAATCCACGCTGACTAAGCCCAAGCACTGGCGGCGGGTCAAAGGCAGCAAAACAACAAGCATGAACTAAACACAACTGACGGCATGCCAGGGACATATCTTCCCTTCCACAGCTGGAGACCAACCGCATCGCGCAGCAGCCCCCTGCTAGGTGATAAAACCATGGCAAACAATGACAGCTATGTCATAGCAATGCTCGGGGACACTAACTGCTACTTTGCGTCAGGCTGTCAAGCAAAACAATCCTGACGCGACTAATGAACAACGCATCAAATTTGGCCAGAGTAATACATCCGTAGCCTTTGGCACTTATCATCTGCGGAAGCGAATTCAATGTCATGCACCAATCCAGGAGGACAACAGCTCACCAGATAAGGCATCAAGGTACAATTGACCAGTCCTATTCCGTAAGCAAAATTCCATCTGGAAACGCGGACCAGAAGGAGATCACACACATTGTCTCCATAAGTTCGGCTTCACTCAGCGCACCAAGCGGCTGCAAATCACCAGAAACAACAAAAACAGGCCACTGCGAACTGCCACGAGAAAAGCTGTAGGGAATATCATAAGCCGAAGCTGAACTCTGTGGCATCAACGAAACCAAAGTCATTCCAGTAAGTTCCCATGCAGGCCCAGTAGAGCAGCGTGGACAAGAGTCGGCAAATAGCAACAGGGAATGCAATCGCAGAAAAAACGGCCATAGAACCACAAATACCACTTTTGCGAGTTATAGATCGTCTGCTGGGGCACATTGGCAGTCGACAACTGAATAGCGTGCTGAACACAGGAATGTGATCTCAGTCGCATGGTGGCCATGACATGGCTCGATCGGTTCACCCCCCGACAGGCTATCCGGCCACGCCCCGTGGAGGCTCGAGCCCAGTGACTATCCAACTTTTGACCATGGCACATACATGAAACCATGAAGGTTAATCATTGGATAATCTGAAGGTCAATTCTTGGACAATCATTGGATAATCCTCCCATTGCTAGGGATGGAAAACGGGAAACAGTGAAACATTTGACACACCCAACCGGTTCAACCACCGGAGTCAGAAACTGTCGAATGAAACGAACGCCAGTCAGTAAAATGATGTAAAATGTAGGGTTTCTTCTCAAATATGCATCTATATCCTCCACAGACGTGTATAATATATATATATATATATAACATATATCATATATATACATATATAAATATATCATATATAATATAATATAATATAATATAATATAATATAATATAATATAATATAATATATATATATATAGTATTACATTATATTATATTATATTCGTATACACAGTATTGGATAATGTTTGCAATTCACACAAGGACTTTTGCAACACCCGGATGTTCGATCTGATCCCTAAAGAAGTCCAGGTCTGAACCACGGACATTTGGATCCACTTGGAGTATCAAACATTGGTGATATCACCAAATCGATTGGGAACGATTGAAAATGATGAATGGATTCACCATCCCAATAGGGATACAATATCAAAAATATATCAACTAATAGATAAAGATAGCAGATCTCCCAATCGTAGTGAAGGCATACTGCGACTGGAGCATCCCGAAATTGCTCGCTGAGATAAGTGTGTCATGCATCTTCAATGGCAATGCTGAGTTTCATGTTCTCTTTTTGGGCCATCCAAGTTTCAGGATATGAATATATAATCGCATATAATATATATATATATATACATATCAATGAACCATTAAACAATCCCCATTTTCCTCAACTTGTTCATACTGTCCTTTTTATTTCTTTCCGCCATTCAAGCCTCTGAATTTTTTGGGGTCCCGACCTGAATCCTCGTTGCAGCTTGTCAAAGCAGACACGTTGTACGCCGTGGTCATAACCTGACTGTGGCCGGGGCTGTGCCTGGTCCTTTGAGCTGGTTAGAGCAGAAAACCGTCTTAAAATCTTAAAATATTAACTATACCAAGGTTGACTCAAGAGCCAAGTTACTAGTGGGATTTGACCAACATGTAACATGGGATTATGAACCAATATCATAAGGAATCTAGCTACAAAAAATCTCAACCCCAAACAGGGATTTGACCCAGCACTGTATGTGTATATATATATATATATTAACTAACTAACGTTGTTCATCCATGACAATTTACAAATCCCAAACCTGATCTAAGGCCACCAAATTGTCCCGAATATTGGCTTTACATGACCGAATGTCCATCAAGAAACCCTAACGGTGACATCAGTGTGAATAAGAAAATGAAAGCAGGTCCAACCATAGTTGAAGGGCACGTTTGAGGCATGCGAACTCACCAGCCCAACCTTGCCAGCTTCTGAGATCAAATAGTTGAAGCCACCAGAAACGAATTCCTGAGCCAGGCTCCCCGAAGCATGGGTTGATAAGGACCCGTGTATAAAAAGGGATCAACTTGAGGTTGGTTCTCTTCTTAGTTTGATGTTTGATGGAATTTTGCTTAAAATGGGTTGCCCTATCCACCATCGATTGTTTTGTCATTTTGCAAGAGTTCCTTGACAGGGAAAAAGCCGACAAAGCAAGCATTGCTGCCGTTTGGATGATAAGACCTTGACAAACGCATACAACATGTTAGATTAAGAAAACAATCAGGAAACGTCCAGGGCTATGTATCCCAACTATCTATCTAACTATCTATCTGTCTGCCTGTCTGTTTGTATACCGTATCTATTAGAATCTATGTGTTGCCCAGTATGTACATAAGTGTCTGAACTAGACGACGGATGGCCCGAGGCGTAGAGGAGCAGAGTCTTCTGTTGTTAGTATGGAGACACGCTTTTTACACACAGGCTCTTTTACACACAGACGCTTTTACACACAGACGCTTTTACACACAGACGCTTTTTACACGCAGGCGCTTTTACACACAGAAACTTTTACACACAGACGCTTTTACACACAGACCCTTTTACACACAGACGCTTTTACACACAGACGCTTTTACACACAGACGCTTTTTACACACAGGCTCTTTTACACACAGACGCTTTTACACACAGACGCTTTTACACACAGACGCTTTTTACACACAGGCTCTTTTACACACAGACGCTTTTACACACAGACGCTTTTTACACACAGGCTCTTTTACACACAGAGACTTTTACACACAGAGGCTTTTACCCGCAGAGACTTTTACACACAGACGCTTTTACACACAGAGACTTTTACACACACACAGACGCTTTTACACACACGCTTTTACACAAACACTTTCACACGCAGAGACTGTTACAGACAGACGCTTTGACACACAGACGCTTTTACACACAGAGGCTTTTACACAGACGCTTTTACAGACAGAGACTTTTACACAGACGCTTTTACACACAGAGACTTTTACACACACAGACGCTTTTACACACAAACGCTTTGACACACAGACGCTTTTACACACAGACGCTTTTACACACAGAGACTTTTACACACAGGACGCTTTTACACACAGAAGCTTTTACACACAGACGCTTTTACACACAGACACTTTTACACACAGACGCTTTTACACACAGAAGCTTTTACACACAGACGCTTTTACACACAAACACTTTTACACACAAACACTTTTACACACAGACGCTTTTACACACAGACGCTTTTACACACGGAGACTTTTACACACACACAGAAGCTTTTACACACAGACGCTTTTACACACAGACCCTTTTACACACAGACGCTTTTACACACAGACGCTTTTACACACAGACGCTTTTTACACACAGACGCTTTTTTACACACAGACGCTTTGACACACAAACACATTTACACACAGAGGCTTTTACACACAAACACCTTTACACAAACACTTTTACACACAAACACTTTTACACACAGACGCTTTTACACACAAACGCTTTGACACACAGACGCTTTTACACACAGACGCTTTTACACACAGAGACTTTTACACACACAGACGCTTTTACACACAGAAGCTTTTACACACAGACGCTTTTACACACAAACACTTTTACACACAAACACTTTTACACACAGACGCTTTTTCTCACAGACGCTTTTTACACACAGAGACTTTTACACACACACAGACGCTTTTACACACAGAAGCTTTTACACAGACGCTTTTACACACGAACACTTTTACACAAACACTTTTACACACAGACGCTTTTACACACAGACGCTTTTACACACAGACGCTTTTTACACACAGACGCTTTTTACACACAGACGCTTTGACACACAAACACATTTACACACAGAGGCTTTTACACACAAACACTTTTACACAAACACTTTTACACACAAACACTTTTACACACACAGACGCTTTTACACACAGACGCTTTGACACACAGACGCTTTTACACACAGACGCTTTTACACACAGAGACTTTTACACACAGAGACGCTTTTACACACAGAAGCTTTTACACAGAGACGCTTTTACACACAGACACTTTTACACACAGACGCTTTTACACACAGACGCTTTTACACACAGACGCTTTTTACACACAGGGGCTTTTACACACAGAAGCTTTTACACACAGACGCTTTTACACACAGACACTTTTACACAAAGACGCTTTTACACACAGACGCTTTTACACACAGGCGCTTTTACACACAGACGCTTTTTACACACAGGCGCTTTTACACACAGACAAGTCCGGCACAAGTAAAACCGCAATTTTACCTCAGTTTTTGACGATCGACCCTCATTTCGTGCGAAAGGGTTGCTCCGGGACAAGTAAAATCGCAATTTTACATCAGTTTTTGACGATCGACCCTCATTTCGTGCGAAAGGGTTGCTCCGGCACAAGTAAAATCGCAATTTTACCGCAGTTTTTGACGATCGACCCTCATTTCGTGCGAAAGGGTTGCTCCGGCACAAGTAAAATCGCAATTTTACCTCAGTTTTCCTCATTTCGTGCGAAAGGGTTGCTCCGGCACAAGTAAAATCGCAATTTTACCTCAGTTTTTGACGATCGACCCTCATTTCGTGCGAAAGGGTTGCTCCAGGACAACTAAAATCGCAATTTTTCCTCAGTTTTTGACGATCGACCCTCATTTCGTGCGAAAGGGTTGCTCCGGCACAAGTAAAATCGCAATTTTACCGCAGTTTTGGACGATCGACCCTCATTTCGTGCGAAAGGGTTGCTCCGGCACAAGTAAAATCGCAATTTTACCTCAGTTTTCCTCATTTCGTGCGAAAGGGTTGCTCCGGCACAAGTAAAATCGCAATTTTACCGCAGTTTTTGACGATCGACCCTCATTGCGTGCGAAAGGGTTGCTCCGGCACAAGTAAAATCGCAATTTTACCGCAGTTTTTGCCGATCGACCCTCATTTCGTGCGAAAGGGTTGCTCCAGGACAAGTAAAATCGCAATTTTACCGCAGTTTTTGACGATCGACCCTCATTTCGTGCGAAAGGGTGTCTCGTTGGCACTGCCCCTGCTCCCGCCTTCAAAAGAGAAATAGAAAAGAAGGAGAGGGCAAGAGGGCAAGAGGGCAAGAGGAGAAG